CATCTTTTAATATCAACATTATTCATATGGACCGTTCTGTAAATTGATGAAAACAGAACTGTCAAAAGGTCGGTAAAATAAAAAGTTATTGATCGATTCGGCTGCAATTCGGTGTGCGGTCATTCCTTAACATCCCCTGAAAATTTCAGGTCTCTACGACAACGGGAAATGGTAGAGGTGCGAAAGTGCAATAGCGCCATTTTTTAAAAAAATATTATCTATTCCCGTAAATGACACCCCATTTGTATTTTGATATGAATTAATCGTATTCCGGAGTTGTTTAAATTAAAAAATTAAAAATTTGTATTTAAAATTAACACTTTGCTCATTGGTATTAGCATAAGGTCAATGACATACCAGATAATCGGACACGAAAGCTACCTACGAAACATTGTTTACATTTATACAACGGCGAATTGTGTTATTACTAAAGGGAATACGACATAATTGTATGTATGGTGATGTAAATGAAACCTTTGCATATCTATACAATCTATACGGTGTCAGTTTAACGATTATTCGCATCACTCATCTAAAGATAAGAAGGGTCATTTTCAAGATTGAAAAAGATAAACCCGCGGTAGCAAGTTGTGGAAATCTCACACTACAACGAAATAGGAAAGCAACTCGAAAATCTAAGACTCGACCACTGTACTACATAGATCAGAGTATAAATAGAGAGATAATAGCTGTTCACAAGTTTTATCGTTTTGTCTGTAGGTGTAACCGCGATTGGACAAGAAAGTGATGAAACTGAAATTTTCGTTTACGTGTTAACACGCGAATGTACGAATTAAAGGGGTATTGACAGTGAAATAGTGTATTGTGAGTAATTGAGTTTATTTTGGACGTTTGAATCCAAGGGCCACTATTCTGTGTTGGGGAAATAATATCTTCAGCCTTGTTGGTGTTGAGACTACTATGCAACAAGATGGTGTCACTTTACCTTGCCCTTAAGTTATTGCTGGCTAAGAAAGCTTCTCATTTTGATAGAGGATCATCACTCGACGCTGCTTCCAATGCGTAGATTAGATATATATATATATATATATATATATATATTATAAGTAAAATTCAAGTATTAGAGAAAAAACACTAACAATTAAAATTTTGGCAAGTACTTTCATCGTTATCAAACGAACCGTCAGGCCATTTTAATGCGTTACTATGCTGTTACAATAACGTCACGTCATAACAGAGGACAATGACTATGTGAAATATAAAAATTAAAACGAAATAACATTAATTAAATTTCAAACATAATTAAAATAATCACCCCTTAGCATTCAAAATTAGGTTATATTTAGCGATAAAGTTGCTTTCTTTTGTTTCCAAGAGATCATTATCACTAATATTGAGTTTGTACAAAGGAAATATCTTGAATTGACCTTTGCCACAAATATCCAAACGTTCGCTCACCGGCAAAACTCTATTTCTTGCGAGTTTTATATTGGGAACAATGTTGGTTAATTCGTAAATTCAACTGATCAGTAGTTTTTCCAATGTACTTGCCATTACAACCATTACATATTAATAAGTAAATTACATACTTCGATTTGCAATTCATATTTTGTTTAACATAGAATTTAACATCTTTAGTAATTTGGACAAATGTTCCAGTTCAATATATCGGAACATGTCATACATCGTAGGTCCCCACACTTGGATACACGGGGTACCGAAATATCAAAATCAACCTTTGATGATGTTAATATTCTTCTAAGATTTTGAGGTTGTTTTAGACTATTTATAATTTTTGAATTATTTAGGATGTATTTTAATTTACGACTATTGTTCTTTAAAATATCCAACCACCTCTTCACAATGGACAACCAACTTTCTTGAGAAGGATTAAATGTTGTCACAAGTGTTATATTATTAGAATCGTTGTCTTTTATTTTGGGTTTTCTGAGATCACCAATAGCCAAATAGCCAAGAGTAAGCGTTGCATATGTTGGGCCAACTTTAGTGCCCATAGCTACCCCTTTAATTTGATCATAAAATTGCCCAGCAAAATAAAATATATTATTTGAGAGAACAATTTGAAGTGCTTCTACAACAAATGATTTTGGAAATCTTATTGGGCATTCTGTATTCAGCTTATCTATCCAGTAATCTACAGCCTTTAATCCAAGATCTTGTTCGATGTTACTGTATAAATTTTCAACATCTAAACTGACTAAAATGCTGTTAGCGTCTACAGATTCTAGTAGTTTGCACACAAAGTCTATGTCATCTCGTAAAAAGCTTTTCACGTATGTACAAAAAGGTTTTAGGATAATATCTACAAAGTTGCTCAATCTTTGTGTACTACTATTAGGCGCGACAGATATTGCTCCACGATATAAAAAGCCTAGTTGAGGAGCAGAGAGGCAGACCTGGAGAGAGGCCTGTAGAGACGTAGAGGGAATTCGGCCCGAGGGCCCGCTCTCGACCCTGGAGGAATTAGGTCTTCTGAGACCTAGTAGAAGCAGCTATAGATAGACGTTACTATACCCAACCAAATGATGTTCAAATGTACCTGTAAATATGTTATCCAGTATTAAAATATCTTTTTAATAAATAAGAGTTATGTATTCTATCACATACTCTTAAGTGGTGCTGTGATCGACGAACCTGAGGTTATGACCAGACCAATGTTTTTGAAGTCCTGACCACTAGAAGATTAAAGCATTTTATTAAGAGGTAAGTCTATTTCTGATCCTAATCATGGCCACGGATAATGCTGATATGTTATGTTTAATAATTTAACTGCCGAAATAAGTGAAATGTTTTATGATTGTTTAATTAACTGGAATCGAGTTTAGAGTATCCTAATTGAGAGATATAACTCATAAATATTCGCATGGTATAAACGGTTTTATTTCTTATATTTTTTTTGTTTTGTCTATATATATTTTAACCCCGGGATTTACGGGATGCCCCGATATTTTTCGGGAGAGATTTTACTTCTGTTAACCCCAATAATGCCAGATATGTTACGGGAAAAGTTTATTGGTTTTGCCCCGAGTTTTACGGGAGAGATTTTATTTGTATTAACCCCAATAATATGCGATTGGGAAGCCCGAGATGTTACGGGTTTTATGTGAAATTCCTATAAGGCGGAATTGGTTTCACCCTAGCGAGGGTCTTGCTCGGAATTAAGAGCGAATGTAATGTATTGTTTTGGGTTTTAAAAAAAAATATAGAGTTAAAACCACTGTTAATTTTGATAGGTTCTTTCCAAATATCCAAATGACCTCCTACTTTCAATTTGGTTTATGTCAATACTAATGTAAATATTTTAAAATAGTCTGTTCCACTTACTAATTTGATTAAAAGTTAATTGAGTTCACTCCGTAATATAATAAGCAGATGATAAAACTTGGGCACGGATGGCAGTTATAATATTACCTATGGCGTGCCTAGCTGACGCGACAGATATTGCTCCACGATATAAAAAGCCTAGTTGAGGGGCAGAGACAGGCAGACCCGGAGAGAGACAGGAGAGACCCGTAGAGGCTTAGAGGTCAATCCGGACCTCGGGAGAGGGCCTGCCCTCGACCCCGGAGAGAGGGGTCCTGTGAGGCCTAAGGGAAGCAACTATAGATAGACGTTTTCGACAGAAATGTTTTATATCACATTTGAGTTCACACATATTGGTTTTAGGCGTAGGTGTGAATTTCAGTCCCCTTTGTAAAAGTTGAATTTCAATTTCCGTAAAACTATGGGAAGAAATATTAATAATTTTAGGATTTAGTTTCTCCTTTTCGGTAGATTCCGTTGATCGTTCCTCTGTTGAGATTCTTTCCTCTGATATATCCCCTGTTGGTTCCCTCGGTGCTGATATCTCTTGTGCTTGTAGTCTCTTTCTTGGTATTCCCCGTCTTGATATCCTTCCCAATGCTGATCCTCCCCCTGTTGATATTTCCTCTGTTGGTATTTCCTCTCTTGGAATTCCCCTTGATGAAGTCCGTTGGGTGTCCGTCTCCTGCTCTGTTGATAACCCCCCTGTCGCTTGTTTGGGGGTCGTCGTGGTTTGCTGTGGCCCTGGTCTAAAAAAGGCCTATGTTCAGACTGGTTGTACTGTTTTTGACCGGGAGTATAACCTTTGTGGTTATTGTATTTTGAGGTCTTTTTTCGAGAAACCTCCCTCCACTGATCATCACTAGGCGGACGAGGGTTGTTATCCCCATTGTTTACCCCTATGGAGGCATCCTGGTCATGCTGATTAGTTTGTTCGAGTTCTTTAGTAGGTAAACTCGAAAGGAATTCTTTCTTTTTATTCCAGATTCTATTTGATTGTTCTTCTTCATTTTTAATCTCCTTGGTCCAAAGTGATTTGAGTGACGTTATGACCTCTTCGTTTGGATGGGTTTCGATCAGATTAGAAATATCTGTTTCCATATACATATGTATATATATATATATACATATTTCATACCTTCTGTCTGTATCAGTATTGTGCTTGATAACGACAAGAGAATCATTGTTGAAACTAGCTTTAATAGAAATACAGTAATTGTTATGCTTAGAACTGTTTTATTTGTTTTTTATCATACTTGTAATATAGTGGACAGATCAATTGTAACTACTAATTTTCCTTCGGTTAACCTGTGAACTCAGTACTTTTCTCTTCCAGTATGAAGATTAGAAACCATGTCGTCATTATATTATAGCCCGTATACGCAATTACCCATATCGTTACGAGATAAACCAGCTATATTATAGCAACAGGGGATGTGTTTTTTATTCGATTCTTATTTTTATGGTATTGCATATTAATGTAAATAGTCTAAACAGTCAGTCTTGACATTTACTTTAGTAAATAAAAGTGGTTATTTCTGTATGAAAATCTGAGAAATACATTTTTCTTTTGTTTATGATCTAATATAAACCCTGTTTTAATTGTTGAAGTAAATTTCACCCAAGTAGAACCTTGAAATGTGATATTTATGATAAGTCATTTAGACAAACACAATAAAAACACAAAAATATAAAAACCTCCTTTCCCCATCAGATTTATTTTTGAAGGATTGTCTAATTTTTGTATAAATTCTGTTTTAATAGTTGAAGTAAATTTTTCCCATGTCATCTTTAGGAGTGAGAACATTGTAACATCTCTCATTCCAATCGGGCCAGTATAAATCCTTCATTCGCTTACAATAACTACTCAGATTATTGTGTTTCTCTGTAAAATAAAAGCATCAATTATAAAAAAGTGACTATCTCCAATGACAAAGATGATGACTAATGGTATGTTAAGAATACGACAATGAACCTATTTATAGTCTACTCTACTCATCTGTTATCAGCTTCTTATATATAACGCATGCCTTTACCACAAAAATCATTTCATTATTTAAAAACATTTCTGGTAATTTCAGCGGGGAGAGGGAGGGTCATTTGGCGTACATTATTAAATTCTATGGTTGGTATTTTTCTGGACTCAGACTAGTAATTATTTGCCCATTGACTTCAATGTTAAATGGCTGTAACATCACAGGCTGTAGCTTTTTGCTCAACATTCCGTTGGTTCCAATCTTTATAGGCACAATGGGGAACACATTTGGCAATCTCCTCATCATAAACTTGTAGGGGGTTGACCGTTTAGATTTTTTGCTACGGGGATTTGAAGTTGACTGGGGTGAAAATCTCACTTCCGATACAATGATTGCTCGGCAGAAAGACATTTTACACCCCCTATCCCTCCGCTGTAATATCATCAGTATTACCCAAAACTGCTATAAAATTGCAAATTTGATCCCTTTTCTCCTATTCTAGACCAAAAAGTCAACCCAAAAATGCAGGAAGAGGGGAGAAAAAAATTAAGGGAAAAATTGTCTATTTATAACTCGCACTACATTCGTCCATCATGAAATAAGGGGAAATAATTACTAGTCTTAGTCCTTCTGCCACTACATTAAATTTAGACCGGTTTCATTCCTCTAAAAGAACGTCGACGAAGACATAAACTTATTCTTGTTTATAAAATCCTCAATAATACTACACCAAATGATCTTTCTACACTATTTCCACTCCCTAGAAAATCTTCGTAAAATTTTAGAAATATAAATGATTTCACTGAATATCGGTGTAGAACGAAATTATTTTCCAACTCATTTGTACCATCCGCAATAAAGGAATGGAACCGGTTAGACCAGTCAACAAAACGTGCAACAAGTCTCTTTTCTTTTAAACAAAAGCTCTCCGAGCATGACTGTAAATAACTAAACGATTTTAAACTATTATTGTTGTTGTTATTAATATTATTATTATTATTACATACTATAATACTTTAGGTGTATTCAACTATGTAAGGGTTGTATATATTGTATATACTGCTTTTCATTATTAGTATATAATTTGTATTGTAAATAGGGATAGGGTCTGGCATAGACATTTTGCCTGTTCCCCAATTTCCCATTCATTTATAGTGAATAAAATATATGTTTATAAAAAAATTTGTTTTAGAAAAATGCCAATGTTTTACGTTACATACGATATACGCATACTTGTACTTATTAAATAATATAGTAGTCATGATGAAAAATAAACCCTAGTTTAACTCAATGTATTTACATTTGAACTGGTTACAAAAATGATAGTGACAATAAGGAATCGGGCAAATATGCATACGTGTACTTATTAATATAGTAGTCATGATGAGAAATAAACCCTAGTTTAAATCAATGTATTTACATTTGAACTGGTTACTAAAATGATAGTGACAATAGGGAATCGGGCAAATATGCGTTTGAACCAATGCAATGTCGAAATACCGAACATTTAACAGATGGGTTATGTCCCGGCCTTACAACATCCATCTGATACCTTGAACGCGACAACGTTTTTCTGTACACCTGAATGCAGTGATATTTTTCAAAATTGCTGCTGCTTGAAAGGTGAACCAATCACAGCTCCATTGTGTATACGTTTCTATAAATTAGTCATCCAGAAGGTCGAGGTACGCTTATTATCGATATGGTTTGTCCTCTCATGACCACAATGATTCAGATCAAATTGGAAAAAAAAAAATCCGTCAAAAACTGTAGCATTTTGTTGACGGAAGGACCGCCGGGCATCTATATCATACAGCAACAGGGGCCTGGTGATAATGAGTACGTGAGTAGCATTGCTAGCAATATTCATGCACCATTATTACAGTGACTTATGCGCCACTTTTGATATCATTTTTGCATCACAAATCAAAAGTGGATCTTTTTGCAAAACAAAAATAAATAATTCTTCATGCAGAAATAAAATGAATACCACTTTCATTTTTAAGTGGTCACTCTTTCGTTTTCAATTCAACTTTCCAATTTCATTTTATTGACCCAATAGGTGGCGTGCATATCAAATGCAAGGGTGATTTTTGCGCCTGAATCGAAATGTAATTTTGCGCCACAATATCTCGGCCGTACTCAACCCCAAATGGCCATCACCAGGCCAATGTAGAGAGCAACAATGTAAACACATTTATAGATTAGTGTACAATAATGTGTTTTCTAACATAACTCATGACTTCATTAAATGACAACTTGCCATTAGGCGCCACCCTCACAATTCACAGAAAGATCCACTTACAGTCAATGCATCCGACTAATGTCGTAATACCATAATAAGATGAGTAGACTGATGGGTAGACAAAAGTTCTCACCTTTAATGAGCTTCTCGTGAGGACTGTTAGGCATATGGTATATAATTTGAGCTAACATTCCAAACAATGCACAATCGACTTCATGTGGTTCATCTCCAAGAAAGAACATTCTCTCACCTGAAATATAAAATAAAAATTGACGTTTGGATTTATAGACAAAATATTACTGATTACGTGTAAAAGAGCACCTTTATTTTATTCTGTGCAGGGTCTAATATGAAATAAGTTAAAAATCTGTTCATGTAATAGAAAAGCCGGATTAAAATTGCATGGGGGCCCCTCTGTAATTCACATCGGGGGCCCTCTATCAAAATGATTACAAACTATCTGTGGCGTCTTTTAATTTAAGCGATATAATTTTATGAAAATATAATAATTATCATTAACTGTGATTGTATCTGTTCAATTTCATAATTAACCGTCAAAGAAGAAATTATTGGCCATAAATGTTTTTACTAAAAAAAAAAAAAAAAAAAAATGTTCATTCCTTTTAATCCACCAATGTATAATAGACAATTTAGTCCAAGTCAGATAATATTTAAAATGCAGATAGTACCTAGATAATTTGATAAGGCACAAATGTCTTCTTTTCCTATATGCCATATATCATTAGTAGAATGTCTTCCTATACCGTGTCCCCACATCTCTAATCTTAATACTCTTGATAGTATTATCACCAACAATTTTAATCTCCAACCTCTATATTGTGGCATAACGGTGGCAATCATATCTTGATTTTCCACAAACATAGAATAACACATTGTCCTAAAACCAGAACAATACATCATTATATCCAAAAAAAGAGAAATTTGCAGTTTTTGAATAGTTAAAGAAGCTAAATCGCTATTCTTTGGCACGTCGCAAAGAGAGAGAAAGAGAGAGAGAGAGAGTAACGTCCACTTGACACAAACTAGGTCATTTCGGGACTAACACATGGTTCAATTTTATTTCAATAATTCGCTTGCGCGTAGGGGTCTTTAGCAATGGGAGGAAACCGGAGGACCCAGAGAAAACCCACGAGGTTGGACAGGCGACCCTACTCCTTGTCACGTTGAATGTATATAAACTGATTTACATTCAATCGTTTCCGTTTCTAATAAGTTATGTTCGGCGAAATACACGAAGAGTCCAAATTGAATGACAGTCTTTGGCGTCTAGTTATTCCAATCTACACCGGTAGTGTCCTTCTGTAGGATATGTTTAGCCTCGTTCACCGAGTCGCTTAATTACAAAGCATTCTGGCACGCGATTCGTGTGCCAATTTTAAAATTTTCATTTTGTCTTAAATATTTGATACCAGGAGCCCATCTTTTTACGGTAAGATAACAACATCAATGTTGATTTAAATTGACCAATAAATCGTGATTGCAATGTCGAAAACTGTGGACGATATTGAGTTAGGGACTTGCCTCCTTTCATCGATTTACATTGCTCTATGGACAGTCCCATGACGTAACGGACCTATGGTGTATTTTTATGACAGCTTACAAACGTCAAAAGCTATAGACTTTGTTTTTTGGATGGAATTTCCTTTAAGGTTTTCGCCAATTTGCGAGATGGTAAAGGTCATTTTATATAATCACACAATTTATTGCATATCCATAAAGTACAATCATATGGCCTTTTAAAATCATCACACACCTACTGTGTGATCATTTCCGTGCACTGTGGCCAATTTAAAGGGACATTATGGGAGATTAGATAAAGAGCTGGCAGTTCCCATTACATGTATAATAGTTCCTGAAAATTTCAGTAAATTGATCCACTCTGAACCGAGACTTTAGCTTTTGAATTTTTAGGCCTAGCCTCGATCACCATTACTAAAGTCGGTACGATAAAAAACATAGTCTCGATTATCCATTTTTGGATTAAATCATCAATGAGCGTTGAGCAGCAAATCGGATTCAAATCGCAGGCTAGCGATGGCATCGAGTTGATTATGGTCTGGATAAGTTAACAAATGTCTAAATAATAATTTGGATAATATTTTAGGCCTAAAAAAAGACCTGCAATAGGCAGATTTAGCTCTAGCATAATGTATGTTTAATTCAGCGGCATGAAATAGCATTGAAAACTATAACATTTGCCCCCAAAACAAAGCAAAACGTTACCGATTCTCTCCTGGTGAACATCGGTCATAAAAGCTCTCAGATATTTCTAACAAGTTTAACATATCTTCTTTGAATGGCATTTAGTAATTGAACATATTAACACAAGGTACAATTTTATGGATACACAATTACTGAGTTTAATACTAAGCGACGTTTCGACGAGGATACTATTCACATACCTGTATCATTTGCTTGATAAAGACGAGAGTATCCTCGTCGAAACTTCGCTTAGTATTAAACTCAGTAATTGTGTATCCATAAAATTGAACCTTGTGTTAAGTTTAACATAGGGGTGGAATGGATATACATAGTCTACTTTCATCGATTTTCTTGTCTGACTGCGGTAAGAACAAGATGAAAACATTATATGGATAAAAGTCAACCAGTTCTTCAGCTTTTACAGATAGGTTTGATTATATTTTGCAAGTTAATACAAGATCATTGAAAATAATAATAAAAGTGTGTTTCCAGTCCGTACTTTGTTTTATCCAGCCCAGTTTTTGATACGCATGATCTTAAAATGGCGTGTAATTGCAGTTATGACCCAGCATAGCTCTATACTCCACTCTGTGGACAATTTGTCAGACCAGCGAAGTGATGTCTGCCACACTTGACAAATCAGTATTTGTTTTCGCCGGGATTAAAACTGTCAAGTCCTAAATATGGTACTAAAAATCCCTAGTTCTAACGGTTCCAGTTGAAATAGAACCATAATACATGAGAAAAAAAATGGTGCAAAATTTCAACAACCCTCCATAATAAACAGTGACATGAGCGAGTCTTTCATGTCATAACAGCTAGAAATGATCGATTTACCAGTATAGGTTTTCCTCTGTCAACTTTTGTAAAGCCCGACCAGTCGCTTTTAAAAAAGGGCTGATTTTCTCTTTATCTATATTTCTTTTTCTTTTCAAAAACTCGATACAAAATTCAGAATCTGCTACTGAAACACCATTATATTTTATCCACGGAGTCTTGCCTTTACTTGAAAATTTACCAGAATGATCATTCTATAAACAAAATAAACAAAACATAATAAGGATATGTACAAAAATGTTAGTTCATTGTGGTATGATATGTTTCAGTTTTTGACATGAATAACATTCATACGATTGACCCGCCTGTGCACTGAAGATGCATACTGACCAAATTTTTTGCTGTCTAGTCAGCTCATTCCAATACACCGAGACAATTTTTATATTTTAAAATGCTAGGTTTGTTATTATTATTTAAATGCTTATGTCTTGGACCTTAATATCTCTTCGTTGATATTAGAACATAATATAGGTATTTTGACTGCACGATGAAATCAATAATCTTAAACAATGAAAAAAGATGAAGAGTAAGAGACTCACCATATAAGGGATTTTATACATTCGTAAAAATGTTTCCAATTTAAGAGGAAACGGAGAAGAACTGGGTGCATATGGTCCTCTACCAACTTGATATAATAAAACCACATTATCTGGTACATTTTCTGACACATTTCTTCTTCTATAATATACATTAACATACATTTACATCTGGGTTCTCACTCCACCTCTTATATTTTAGATTAAATTACAGGTATTCTTTTTATAACTAGGAAATTTGGGGATAAGTAGGTAGTGAAGTGTAAATTCTGAAATAGTGTTGGTGATTTATAATAAACAAAAGTTCTGGGCCCTGTTTTACAAAAACTTAAATCTCCTTAAAATCGTCTTAAACGAAAATTCCATCTTAACTTAAGATAGATGGGTTTCACAAAACGATTTAAGCATTTAAGATAAAATCCACTAAAATAATATTGTTAAGTTAAAATTGTATCTTAACTTAAAATAGTGGCGTTTCACAAAACTATTTTAGGGACAATTTTACCTAAAATCAATTTTAACTTAGGACAGCTGTCACCCTCTCCTAACTTAAAATCACGACATTAACAAACATTGATTAGAGCTACGTTGTGAGATCTATCGCGACATATAGATATATTTGTAATAATGATAATATTGCCAATGGCCCGGATTATATAATTTAAACATACTATCATTCACAAAAATAATTTTCATTCAATTTCTTTCCATTGCATGGAAAATATAGCTGCGGCCCACGCGTTTATTTTATTGTAAGGCAATATAAGCAATTAGATGACGCCCAAATTATAACCCCAAGAACCAAAAAACCCTCAAAACCCCAGTAATCGAAACTCTTTGTTACTATTTTATATATTATCACATGATTCAAGTATAAATTATACTATTTTCAAATAATTAATAGACCAAACAAAACCCACTAAAACAATCTAAACACACTTCATGTCTAATGTCTATAAAAGAAATATATCTTTGTAGGCCTACAATTGTTTAAAATGAGAGAGAGAGAGAGGGCGGTATACCGTCCACTAGACACAAACTAGGTCATTTCGGGACTAACACATGGTTTAATTTTATTTGAATAATTCACTAGCGCGTAGAAGTTTTTAGTAGTGGGGGGAAACCGGATGACCCGGAGAAAACCCACGAGGTTGGACGGGCGACCTTACTTCCTGTCTCGTACAACCGGGGAATCGAAACCCCGTCAGTCCTATAATACTCGATACGCCATATGCAGTTTTAACTAAAATCTATTAAAATTGCATTTTAAGTTACAATCGATCTTCGTGAAACGCATAAAATTTTAAATTACAGTTTGATTTTAGTTAAAATCAATTTTAGTGATTTTAGTTTAAGTTTTTGTGAAACAGGGCCCTGGTGCGTAAGAAAAACGTAAGCAAATGGAGTTCTAGAACGAAGGCACGAGTTTAAAAAAAAAGATTTGTACAACATGCGACATTGGCTTGGACATATAAAACTGATTCGATGATTTACTTTCGGTGAATGGATTTGGTGTGCATCGGGTAATTGTGAAAGAACATATTCATAAAGCAATGGGTCGAGAACGGAACACTGCCAAGAGTATGGGGAAGACGAGAAACGACGCAGTTATCCATATGCAGTTACTGGTGTGTACAACTAAATACACCCATCTCTTAAACCAGCCAGCTGTGACCAAACTAATGATAGATTTCAACATGACAGTGTATACAAACTAACAATACGATAAATGTCGGGGTTCAAATTTTCCGACCCCTTGACTCCATGGTGTCGCTAAACGCCAAACTCGGATCGATTTCAACTTAGAGTAATCTATCACACAGTACCACTTTTGTGGCTTCTGAAGCATGGTAAAATGTTTCATATGGTCACTTTTAGGTGATTTGGAATGTTCTGCCATGACATTCAAGACAAATTTGACATTTTGTAACAAATAAACAAGTTTAATATCGAAAACAAAAAGAATTCATAACAAGCCAGATAAAACGCAGTCTACTACATCAGTTATTCCTCATCCTTGTCCTCCTGCACATCCCTGATCACACTGCTACACTGCAGACCATTTTTGTGGCAACTGCACCACCCCGTGCAGCCTGTTTTACAACCACGAGGGGAAGGCAGAGCAAGTTTCTGCACAAGAAAATAAATGCCTTTGTCCAACTGCCAGCTAATTCGGGGATCTAGTAACGTACGACTTGTTGCGCATGGCAATGTAATTTGCTCTTGTGATATGGGGTAACAATGCAGCACGAGTCGGGGGCAGCATCTCTCTAGTTTTTTTTACCTGAACAATTGCCATCTAAGTGCTGGTAGAGTTAATGGACCAGATGAAGCGTACACTTGGCAAACAAATCTCTCGAATTCCTTGACCTGTATGCACGAACCCATGTTTTGTTTGTGATACCCACAAATTTACCTCCCCAGTCAGCACCAGATACAAAAACCATTCCTACATAACTGTTTGCCCAAGCTTTGTTGCAGTATTTCACTGGTAACAACTTTAAGCTGCTTGTTACCTATCCTATATTTCAGGTTGCGACTATTTTGAATCAAAAATGGCAACTGGAAATGAGGTCAGATCGCGTGTGTCGCGCTCTTAGTCGAAAGAGGACATCAAAAACTACCTGTATGCTTTTGGCTAAAAGTGAACGATATTTCACTGACTATATATCATTTGATGATCTAGAATCAGGCCTGGATTAAACTTGCATTGAGACCTTGGCTGAAAATATCACTATATGGGGCCCATGCATCAATAGTAAAAAAAGGGCATATTCTGTTCATTGTGCGCCACACTTAGTTTTAAAACTAATTTGGGGTCCCAGTCCAAATCCACCCCCCACACCCCTTTTATCCGACCCTGTCTAGAATGTGCATGTAGTGGGACCCTCTCAGAGGACCCCGTTGCATACAGCTTGTCTCGTCTTTGATTGAACAGTATCTGATTAAAGATTTTGCGCTTTAGAAATGAAATGAAATGGGTTTTAACGTCCTACTGTTCTGCTCCTAGAGTGTTGAGTTAAATTTCATTTGAGAGGTCTGATCCATGCGTTAGATTCATACAGTGATGAAACGGATTCCGATTCGATAGGATTCGCTTCAATTAAACACACCCTTGTACTTCTCTTTAATATGGCCTGAAGAGTTTCAAGAAAACTGAAAACGTTAGCCAAAAATATGTGTTTATTTCTTTTTTCAACGAGATTTTATGTATATATCTCAGGTAGTAGTTCATATAAACTTTTTTTTGGTATATATATATGTATACACGTGGTTCCTTTTTCGCAGTGAAAATTAGTTTAAAATAAAATCACACCTGCAGTGCCATCATCTACAATACCCGCCCACCCCCAACCCACATCCCAAATGACACACGGTAGCCCAAACTGATACAAACAAGATATTATTCTAACAGTGACCTACCTTGAAGTGCTAATTAATATAACTGTCAACATCAGTATTATACAAATACCACATGTAACGTTAAAAAATGTCACAAACTCTGATTCCACACGGTCAAACATATTTCTATAGCTAAAAGAAGCGCAAACTCTTTTAACGACTTGTGTCAGTTAACAAAACTCGGACATTGTTGAATTTCAACAACAATAGTCTGCTATTATAACGGTGGTCGCCTGGTAATGAAGCGTGATTTACACTATGACCGTGAACAACAGTTTGAACAATCTTTCCGTTGATAATCTGATGTGTTGCGCTCTATCCCCAGGCTTGCTATAACACACTTGATTGTTATCATACTGTTCACCCTCAACAGTAGTTTATCAGTATATAAAACATTTTACATCTAAATGTCACATGTAACTATATACCCCAATGATGACAGTTTCAATGTTACATTCTTGCTAAAGACAAATGTGGTTAACCCATAGAATTATATAATTATGTGTAAACCCATTCGAATGTTACCTTGGAGACAACTGTGACCGTGATGGTCCTTCGGATCTGAAATGGCTCCTCAAATCTTTAATACTGGAAACTTATAACAATTATTATCTACATACACTGAGTGTTGACACGGGTAAGAGTCGATGTAATTTATTTACAATAATAAGAAATAAAACAATGGTCAATAAAACAACTAATAAATTAAGCATACAACTGGCATGTTCACTAGACGCGCCATATTAATATAGTTACTTCCTTCCTATCTATAAAAGTTTTATAAACAATTTGGTAATAAATCAACATGTCATTGGCATTACATAACATTATTTAGTTTAAACAATATTTTATTCATTTGAAAAGGATTGAACAACAGGCAAAGCCTATATAAGTTCTTTCCCAACATTATTTCATCTTTAGCTAGTCACCTTTCAATAGCACACACACGATTACAGTTTTAGGCCCATATTTTCGAACAGTGTCTAAAATAATCTGTGATTAGGTCTAATCAGTAACTAGCTAGTTAGAGATTAGTGGTTGACTAAGTTTGGTATTCTCAATAGTCAGATTAGCTAATCTTTGACTATAATTTTTTGTAATCAACGATTAAAATTCATGTTTAAACTTTGATTATAATTAAACATTTAATCAATGATTATATATAATCAGTGATTAAAAAGGCTTTTGTCATTGATAAAGGGGTCCAATTACAGGAAGTAGATTAGAAAAGTACGTGTTTAGAACAGTTTTTCACATCCTAGGGTCCGTGAAATTATTTTTAGGGTCCGCAAAGTCAAAGAGGTTCATATGGGTGGACAGGAAAGAAATAAAATGTGTGAAAAAAAAAGGCAATTAAAATGGAGTTCGGATATGTTTAGTATTCGAAATGAATACTAAGGGAGACGAACATACGCCATACAGTGTGCTATGAGGGCAATTTCGCCTGGACAGCGGCACTACGGCTCACAGTTATACCAAATTCTAACTGCCAAGGGCTATTTTACGTGCACCCCAATGTGTACAGGGTACTTAGGTTTGTTATCCAATCCAAACGACTCAACCTTGTCCCATGCATCCTGCATCACCGTGGCTCCCTTTTAGTAATCGAAATATGAATTTCTGTTGCTAATATCAAAGTCCCATTTATTCTCCTGATGCAATTAATTTTATGCCACCTCTTTTCTATTAAAATCCAAAATTATCACTAATTGTCTTTTGTGCATAAACTTGCTATATCTGTATTATTAATTTATTTATCCGCTTTTAATAATACCACACTGGCACACTTTCCCAAATTTTAGTGGGATTTTGGTTTTCTTCGTATATGGGCGATTTTATTAATTACTAGAAGAATGCCCGGCTTCGCTCGGGGGTCATAACCCCGAAACCGGAAGTGGTACACTAACGCCACCCGGCCTATGTTACTCCCCGGTCCGAGCTACCCCTATACCCCAAATTTCAGACTCGAGTTGCTTGACCTATTGAGACACAAGAAGTATGCATTTTTCTATATACAACTGTTGAACTGAGTGCCAAGCATATAAAATGTCATTTAGCAACATTAATTATTGTATAAAAATGTGAAACATTGATTTACATTTATCACGTCTTAACAAACTCGACTGTCTTTCGTTTCTTACATCTCTTACATCGGAAACATTGCTTGAACAGTTAAAACTAAGAATGTAACATTCTTTTTTATTGACAAAAAGAAAGCCATTGTGGACACCTTGAAAAAAAACCCCATAAAGATCATGCTAAGTCAAAAGAAACGTTTGACTTTTCTACTTTGTATACTATTACTATGCTTCAATATTTCTATTGGTTCTTTCATGTATTCAGTACTAGGCTTGAAATTTATACACAGTGTTTAAGGTCATGAGACACAAAAGCCTACTGATTTTCAACAATTTTCGATAATTACCTCCAGAGTTATGGCCCTTGATCACTTTAAAAAAACCTATGGACTGACTTTCGTTTCTTAAATCTCTTACATCGGAAACATTGCTTGAACAGCTAAAACTAAGAATGTAACAAATTCTTTTTTATTGACAAAAAGAAAGCCATTGTGGACACCTTGAAAAAACCCCCATAAAGATTATGCTAAATCAAAAGAAACGTTTGACTTTTCTACTTTGTATACTATTACTATGCTTCAATATTTCTATTGGTTCTTTCATGTATTCAGTACTAGGCTTGAAATTTATACACAGTGTTTAAGGTCATGAGACACAAAAGCCTATTGATTTTCAACAATTTCCGATAATTACCTCCAGAGTTATGGCCTTTGATCACTTTGAAAAATCATATGGACGCTCCATAGGCTAAAGGTTATATCCGATTGACTTTAAATTTATACACAGTATTTAAGGCCACGAGACGGAGGATCCTATTGATTTCTGGGCTTTGCTACTAGAGTTATTGCCCTTGATCACTTTGAAAGCTAAAGTTAATATCCGATTGGTTATAGATTTATACAGTGTTTAGCGTCATGAAATTCAACGATTTCCGATAATTACTGCCTGCATTATGGCCCTTGATCACTTTGAAAAATCTTGTGGACGCTCTAGAGGCTAAAGTTGGTATCCGATTGACTTTGGATTTATACACAATGTTTAAGGCCAAGAGATGAGGAAGCCTTTTGATTTCCAACGATTTACGATAATTACTGTTAGAGTTATGGTCCTTGTGGACGCCCTAGAGGCTAAAGTTAATATCTTTAGATTTATATACAGTGTTTAGGGTCACGAGATGGGGCAGCCTATTGATTTCCAACGATTTCCGATAATTACTGCCAGAGTTATGGCCCTTGATCACTTTGAAAAATTTGTGGATGTTCTAAAGTTAATATCCCATTGACTTGAAATTTATACACAGTGTTTAACGTCATGAGAGGAGGGGATCTATTGATTGTCAACGCTTTCAGATAATTACTTCCAGAATTTTGGCCCTTGATACTATATGTTTTGTATAGTAAACGTTCGTAGAGGGCAGAACTAGAAACCAAACAAATTCTACTGATTTCTGATAATTACTTCATGTGTTGTTACTCGTACTCAGATTTTAGAGTCGTAAATGTTTTCATTACTGACCAAAGAAAAAAAATATGTGACAACCCTTGTTGACCGCCGGACGACTTAGCTGCTGTGGGTTCCCTTTTGTGCTAAGAGGTTGATTTGCTCCGTCTTTACAATTCCTTTTGTTAAAATTATTTGTATTTTTTAGTTTATTCATTTTGACTAAATTATTATTTATGTTTTATATTTTAGAGAATGTTAAATATTTAAAAAAAAATTTTCACCAGAATTTACGGTGAATGTGATTTTTTTCTTTCGTGGCAAAAACTAAGTGCAGTGTGTCTGAATTCAATGAAAAATAATCATTTCTATTACATTCAATACGTTGTAATTGCATATTCATGTACTTAATCTATCCTTAAACTACCCCCCTGAGATGACTAAATATTGGGGTGATTTAGTCAATGATTAAGTACAAGTCAACGTTCGAGAATACCACATTTGATGGTATTCTCGAACAATGATTTACTCACTGATTAGGCTAATCAAAGTTTATAACCAGCGGCTGCCAGGCAGGATACGCCCACATTTTCGAGAGATGGATAGAGAACAAGCTAAAAAGAAAGTGATTTTTCGTACAATCAGGGGCCATAATTCAGGAAGTTACTGTCCGATATGCGCGAATATCGAAAGGAACCAAGATTTTTGGGTTATAAACTTACATTTCAAGTTTCAACAAAATCGGATAAAAATTGTGACCTCTTTGGGTTATAAACTTACATTTCAAGTTTCATCAAAATCGGATAAAAATTGTGACCTCTATAAGGTCCACAACCTTGATATACCATATTTTTAGGCTATTTAAGAATGAAGGGCGGCCATTATGTTGGTCAGTTATGGGCCGTTTTTCACGAAATTGGAACTCAGCCGTCCTTAGGGTATAACGGTTATACAATAATACGTTTTTTTAAATCGGATAAAAATTATGACCTTTATGGGGTCCACAAGCTAAAATCGCAATTTTTCGTACAATCAGGGTCCACAATTCAAGAAGTTACGGTCCGATATGCGTGAATATCGAAAGGAAGCACGATCTTTGGGTTATAAATTATATTTCAAGTTTGAACAAAATCGGATACAAATTGTGACCTCTATAGGGTCCACAACCTTGACATACCATATTTTTACGCTATTTGAGAACGAGGGGCGGCCATTTTGTCTGTCAGTTGTGGGCCGATTTTCACGAAATTCGAACTCAGCCATCCTTGGGGTGTAACGGTGATATAATAATACGGTTTTTTAAATCGGATAAAAATTGTAACCTCTACAGTGTTCACAAGCTAAAAAACGTGATTTTCCGTACAATCAGGGGCTATAATCCATGAAGTTACAGTCCGATACATGCCAATATCAAAAGGAACCGAGATCTTAGGGTGATAAACCTATATTTCAAGTTTCATTGAAATTGGATAAAAATCTTAGATTAAAATTTAATCAGCTTTTCAGAATATAGCTGGTCAGAAAATCAGAGATTAAATCTATGATTAGCACTAATCCACTTTCGAAAATACGGACCTTAAAGATTAATTATTGTCCCGGGAGTTTAAATCAATTAAGTTAAAG